ACCAACTCGCAGCTCTTCTCGTTCAACGGCACCGAAACGGGCCCCATTCCCTTGGAGCCCGAGAACCAGCCCGGGTCGTGTCTGACTGTCAAGGGCAACGTGGTGGACATTGCCACGTGTGACGCCGCCGACGCGAACCAGTCGTTTGTCTTTGGGGGAGCGGCCGCCGGGGTTGCGCCTTCGGCTGCTTCATCCTCTGCATCTGCTGCTGCGTCGGCTCCAGCAACAACAGCAGCAGCAGCAGCAGCATCGTCCTCAAACTCGTCCGTCACGTCGGCCGTACTGGCAGCGACGTCTAGCATTGCTGCGCCAGGCACCCTGCCGTCTGCCTTGCAGACCGCCTCGGCCTGCTCCGGCCGCACACGTACCGTCATCAAGACCGTGACAGCATCCGCCTCCGCCTCCGCCTCTGCCTCTACGGCGAGCAGCAGTGGTGCCGGTGTCGCTCTCGGCGCTGCAAACCCTGACCCACTCTCCTCGTCGGCTGCCACGGCTGCGGTCACGGGCACGGTCACTGCCATCCCCCAGCCGGATTCCGCCGTTCCCGTCTCCCGTGGCGGCAACCTCAGTCCCTCTGCTGCCGCCGAGGCCAACCCTGTCGACAGCACCGCGAAGCGCAACTTGACCAGCGTCACCATCCGCGCGCCCAACGGCCAGTGTCTCTTTGTCGATCCCACCGCCGGCGACTTCCGCGAAAACCTCATCCCCGTCTCGCTCGTCGACTGCTCCGGCACGCCCAACGAGCGCTGGGACGTCGTGACGTCCGGCGCCCACAACGACGTGCCCGGCACCGCCCTCATTGTCAGCACCCTGACCAACGGCTGCATCAGCTTCGACGGCCGGCGCGCCGCCAACGACACCGTCAACCTCTTTTCGTGCGGCGGCCGCGCCGACGGCACGGGCCAGACGAATGCGGACCAGCTGGTGCCCTTTATCGGCGCCTTCAGCTTTGCCTTGGCGCCCTCGGGCGAGAACGGCAAGGTGTGCATTCTGCCGGGCGCAGACAATGGGCGCCTGGTTTCGGGGGCGTGCCCGACCAACGGCGCGCAACTGTTTGCCGTCTTCCCTTGAGGTCTGCTCAACGGTCACCCCCACGTGCCTCCATTCGTGGCCATGTCATGGTCTGGGCGGAGCGATGTGAGATGAGATCTGACGCGTCTTTCGATGGCCTATTCGATCTGACGGTCGCGTCGTGTCCTGTGTATTATTTGTATTGCGCGCTTCTTGTGCGACGACCTCATTACCTTCTCTGTACATATAGCATTAAATTCTTGCGGTCTTTTTGTTTCCAATTCTTTTTAATGCTTTTTTTGTTCGTGGTTCCCGGTCTTGTTGTATAACGGCTGTCAAAGAGACAAAAAAACAAAAAGTCCCGTACAATTCTCCGTAATGTTTTGGTTAAATATAGCGCTCTGTCGCCCGCCAACTGTCAGCTCTTGCTATTTCCAGTGTAATTACGAAATACATGTTTAGAAACAGCAAGAGCAAAAGTGGCAGGTGAGACTGACTGCGCCTGCCGATTTCCCGTTTTTCACGATAAACAAATCGGTATACGAAATACAAGCTGAGCCAATACAAACAACATTGACGTCTGAGATAAGTGGTGCCGTGTTTCAGCAGCCACAGCCCCTAGTCGCGTTTTTTATAACCTGGATCGCGGTCGATGGCAATTGTACACTGGATACGTGGGTAACGCCGTAGTTTCATTAGTGGCTGAGTTGGTCCTCTCCTTCCCACAACTATCGCACGCGTCGATCGCTCTTACCCCACGAGCTTAGATTGCTTGGGTCTTGCCTTGCATCCGGCGTTTCGCACATTTTCTTGTACTTTTTGGCTTCACCTGGATTCTGTTCTGTTTTGTGCCCCTTTCTTGCCATCGTCCATCCGTCTCAACCTGCGCGCCTCCGCGCCTTCGCGTCTGGCACCCGCGCACGCTAAATCCCCATGCCTTGGCGCACGTCACACGTCAACTTCGACCTCACCCGCTTCTGACGATGTCGTCGCCGCCCGAATCTGCCTCCACAGCCGCAGAGCTGTCCATTGAAGCTGCCGAAGAAGACACACGCACACAGCGTGCTTCTGCTTCTCCCACACAACGTTTATCGCCCACGTCGGCGCCGCCTCCTCTGCCTGCCGTGTCGCAACCCCATATCCACTACGCCGAAGCAGGGACTGGGCCCAGCACATTGTCGGCGCCTCCGGCTCTGTCTGTCGACGCGCAGCTCGCCAGCAGTCATGGCCACGGCCAGAGCTACGGCCAAGGCCAGGCCCAGGGGCAAGACGGCAGGCGGCCCCTGTCCGAGCCGAATGTCTCCGTCCACGGCGCCATGTCCGCAGTCGATGGTCCAGGCAGCCTCTTGTCGCCAACCACCCCGGGTGGCGGTCTACGCCGTCGAGGCACAAAGCGTGCTGTGACCTTTCGCAATGTCGACAACTTTTCCGAGTATGACGTGCGGCCTGGGTGGCAGCCAGGTTCCGAGCCGGGCATCGACACAAGCAAGCCCGATGGCGGGCGCGCGACGCTGGCGACCATGATGTCGCCGAGCGAGATCACCGTCGTCGACTTCAGCCAGGACGACATTATGACGACGCGCCTGGACAATGCGACCCTGGCTGGCTTTCTGGCGGTACCCCAACCGCGCCACATGAAGTGCCGCTGGATCAACGTCAACGGCCTGAGCTGGGACGTCATCCAGATCCTGGGCAACCACAAGCGCCTGCACAGGCTGGCCATTGAGGACATGATCAACACACGGAACCGCACCAAGGCCGATTGGTACACGACGCATATCTTTATGGTCCTGACGCTACAAAAACTCGTGCATTTCGACTTTTCCAAGAACCGCATCAGCCGCTCCGACGACAGCGATAGCGACAGCGGTGAGAGCGACGACGGCGACGACACCACGGACGATAAGAACGGCGAGAGTGTCAAGAGTGGTCGGTCCAGCCACTCACGCAAAAGCGGTATTTCTCGGCGGTTTCGACGCATGTTCGGCCGCCGACACCACAGGAGCAGAGATGCGAGCAGAGGACAGCCAGCCGCGTCTGCACCGACATATGCGGCATCGGCGCGAAATGTGGAAAGTGGACCACGGCCACCGGTACCACGGACGGCGTCGATCCGGGATGCTGAGGACCTCTCTCACGTCAATGCCTTTCGCACACTTCAGCGGTACCACTCCTCGCCGAACGATGCACGCACCGACTTTATGGAAAGCCACTCCGCTTTGAGCTCCAAGAATCTGGCCGTGGCTGCGGAACAGGTGTCCATCTTCATTACCGACGACAACACTGTCATTTCCTTTTTCGAACTCTCTGCCCAAGACGTGGAGCAGCCCATCTTGAAGCGGTTGCGTTTGGCCGACACCAGCTTGCGGCGATCTTGCGACGCGTCTCTGATTACCCAGGCCATTCTGGACGCCATCGTCGACCTGGCCATCCCTGTCACGGTGTGCTACGGCGATGTGATTTCCGACCTCGAGCTGGATGTGCTCACCAGCCCGAGCGTGAGGCACACCAAGAGCCTGTACATTACCATCACCGAGATGAACAAGGTGCTCAGCTTCATCAATCCGGTCATGAACCTCATCAACACGCTGCGCGACCATAAGACGGACAGCGTAGCCATTGACGATTTCCAGAACCCAGCCACCGGCGTGACCATCTCGTCGACAACCTACGTGTACCTTGCCGACGTGCTGGACCACTGCGTCCTCATCACCGAGTCACTGGACCAGATCCGCGGCCAAGCCGAGAACATGATCTCCCTCATCTTCAACACGATCTCGGCGAACCAAAACGAAAGCATGAAACAGCTCACGATTGTCACCATCATCTTCCTTCCCCTGACCTTCTTGACCGGCTACTTTGGCCAAAACTTTGACGGGTTTGCCGACCTCGAGCTCGGTATTCCTTTCTTGTGCGTTGTCCACCCCTGTGTTAAACGACATGATGACACGTTCGTACTGACATCCCATCAGCTGGAAAATCGCCGGTCCCGTCATCTTCTTCACCGTCGTCATCATGATGTACGACATGATTCTGCGGTATTGCAGATCGCTTATTCAGCGGCGCCACATTCTGCGCCTGCGAAAACACCGCCGCAAGCGCTCCAAAGCCAACAACTAATTACTACTAACTTTGCTTTCGTTTTGCATCGTGTCTTTTTGGGTTAGCATTCTTGACACAGTGACGGTTGCCAGCCTCCTTTTTGAACTAGACGTGCACTTTCTTGTTTGCTTTTTTGGACATATTTTAATATCCCTTTTGATCGCCCCGTCTCTATATCTTTAATTTACTTACAGACGAACTTGCAAGCAAGCTTCATTGTGATCCTCTCGCTTCGTTATTGGGCTGTCCTATTAACCCAAAATAGAAGCACCGCGTCATTTCGCGACTCATATGTTTCATTTTAAGGGAAACACAACATAACAAAATACCAGCTGTCGGGTTCACTTCGATTAAGTAGCTTTGACTCCAGGCCAAGGCAAAAAGCAAATGGCTCGGCAAAATCGGCGGTGTCAAGTACCACGATACCTGGCCAATATCCCGTCAAATAAACTTGGCAATATCGCTGTACCTGCAGGCTGATTGGGAAGTGCACCGACCTTCTATTTTTGCTCGAATAAGGTTTCGACAAGAGACATTCAACGACACAGCATCCCGGCTCGATATGTCACCTTACCCAAATAAGTCAACTGCGTAATTATACGAACCGGATGCCCGGCACAATTGTGTCATCCATGAATTGAGTAGTGTTTATGCATACATGGCTGGCCACATATTGTTCATGCCCACGCTGCAGGTTGGGTATGTCGAATCGACATGGGCAAAAGGTCACAAGCGGCTGGCGAGGAAACAGGTTCGCCGACCAGATTGGAGAGCAAAACGGTTCGTTGTCGTATGAAATCGTCTTTCCCCGTGCATGTTCATCTTTCACATCCTTTCGATGCAACACGGCATCAACTGACACCACAACGTCGCCGCACTCACCGACCATGTCTTTCGACGAGTACATTGAGAAGACGGTGGAAAGCGGCGGGCTATCGGGCGTTGCCCTGTGGGCCAAGGACAAGAACGGAAACATCATCTACAACCGCGCGCTAGGCGTTGCCAGCCTGGAGAACCCAGACCCGGCGCAGCGGCCGCCGATGAGCATGGACACGGTCGTCCGCCTCGCCTCGTCTTCCAAACTGCTGACGACCATCGCCGCCCTGCAAGCTGTCGAGAAGGGTCTCCTCAAACTCGACGACGACGTGGCCGGGCACGTCCCCGAGCTGGCGTCGCTCGAAGTGTTGGAGGGCTTCACCTGGTATGGCAAGCCAATCACACGGCCGCGCGACCCGGCCGCGACCATCACGCTGCGGTCCCTCCTCAATCAGACGTCGGGCGCCGGCTACGATTTTCTGCAGTGGCAGCCGCTGTGGCGTGTCCGGTGGTGGCGCTCTGAGAAGGTGGCCGGCGGCAGCAGCCTCGAGGCGCGTCTGGCGCACCCGCTGCTGCACGATCCGGGCGACGGCTGGACGTACGGCAGCGGCGTGACGTGGGCAGGCCGTGTTGTGGAGCGCGTGGCTGGCTGCTCCCTGGAAGAGTGGATGGCACGCCATATTGCCAAGCCGCTGGGCATATCGAGCTTGACGTTCTTCCCACAGCGCAACCCCGACCTTGCCCGCCGCCTCGCCGGCATGTCGTCCCGCAGCCCGTGGACCGGCGCCTTGTCGTTTGTCCCAGACACCGTCTTCCCGGAGAAGAACGACGCCGGCGAAGACGTCTGCATGGGTGGCGAAGGCGTCCATTGCACCGTGGCCGACTTTTGTGCCGTCCTGTATTCGCTGCTCGTCGACGATGGCAAGCTGCTGGCACCCACAACGACGGCTGCCATGTTTAGCAAGCAGCTCGCGCCGAACCAGCACCCACCGCTGGAGGCGTGTCTCGACCTCCCGGTGTGGATCTGTCGCAGCATCCTCAACAAGGGCGAGCACGACTGGGGGCTGGGCGGTGTCTTGGTGGACGGCACGACCAAGACCGGCCTGCAGGACGGTGCGCTGATGTGGAGCGGCCTGTATCACATTTTATGGTGGGTGGACCGCAAGGCCGGTGTGTGCGGGTTCTTTGCGACGCAGTTGGTGCCGGCCGTGGACAAGGTCGGGGTGCCGAGCATTGTGGCATTCCAAAAGGAAGTCTACCGGCGGATGGGGTACAGCCTCGACGCTGGAAAGACCCTTGGCCCCATTGTTGAGGAGACGGAGGGAAAGACTGGTATGTTGCGCCGTCCCCAGCATGTACGACATTGTGATTTCCCTTGCTCTGCTGACACCTTTGCAACGGACCAGATTCGAAGCCGGGCGCTCATCCCGAAACCACAAAAACCAATGAGCCAGCGTCGCCAACAAGGGCGCTCGCAGCATGGGCGTCGAGTTTCTGGACAAAGGAATGATGGCAGTAGCTCTTTGGATATCTTGGGAATAATTATCTATTTTTTAATATATTTTTGAATATTTTTGGCTTTATATACAAATGCCCTTTTTCGACAACAAATGTCATCCCCAAAATTGGTCGTGGGGAAGTCGCATTGGCAAGACATGTCTTTGATCGCGTGGTGCGTCTGGCAACTAGCGCCCGCGTCGCCATCTCGTGGTTGTCAGTAGGTTGGTTTCAATCACGTTGGCCTTATTCACACCCATTTGGTGAAGCGGGCGCTTGGGTGATCGCCCATGTCTTAACCTGTCTTACAGCGCATACTTAAGTTACCTACCAGCCTGACGGCAAGAATAAGCCCCAACAGCAACCTCTCAGCTGCTGCATTGCATTCATCTCATGTACCTCGAGGCGATCGATTTGTCTCCAGCTTCTTCGTCTTTAACAATTGCGCGGCTGCACCGAGACGTTACAATGTTATGCAGAGTGTTGCAACCCGCGCGTGGCGCGAGGCTTCGTCTGCCTCTGACATCATCGCCCGGTCGACCGCAATCGACATTGACCGCCAACATCTTTCGGCCCACGACAGCGACGACTCACATCGGCCGTTCACGCAGCGCGCCTCGGCGCGTCTACTCGGCTGGCCGTCAGCCTCCGCCGCAGAATAATAGCAGTGCATGGGCATATGGGATTGGTAAGAGCATCTGCATCTGGCGCCGGGTCTCGGGTATTGTGTGTACTAAACGTCATGACAGGCGGCACCGTTGTGGCCATGGTTGCCTTTATTCTTGGACGGCGCACAGCAGCCGCCACGGGGGATGCCAAGGTCGGCATGCCATCTGTCGCCGCCGAGAATGCCGACCTAAAAGAAGACGGCGATGGCGATCAGCCTGTCTTCGCCAGCACCCGCTCCACGCTGCCTCTCCACCGCGTCGCCGAGGTCCACCATGACACCTCGCCCGAGAACCTGGCACAGGCGCGCGCCGAGATCGCCGCCGTCGTCGGCGACGCGGCCGTCACCGACCACCGCGACGAACTGGCCCGCCACACGTCCAGTGCCTGGTCCTCGTATGCCGAGTCCGTCGACGACAACCCGCACTTTGTCGTCTACCCGCAGTCCACCGACGACGTCAGCGCCATAATGCGCATCTGCCACCGCCGGCGCGTGCCCGTCGTGGCCTTTGGCGGCGGCACCAGTCTCGAGGGCCACTTTGCCAACGTGTGCCGCGGCATCAGCCTCGACCTGTCGCGCATGGACCGCATCGTGACGGTGCACGACGCCGATTTCGACGCGGTGGTGCAGCCCGGCGTGGGCTACGAGCAGCTCAATGCGGCGCTGGCGGACCGGCGCCTGTTTTTCCCGCCCGATCCGGGCCCGGGCGCCACGATCGGCGGCATGGTGGGCACGGGCTGTTCGGGCACGAATGCGTATTACTACGGCACGATGCGGGAGTGGGTGCTCGGCCTGACGGTGGTGCTCGCCGACGGCACCGTGGTGCAGACGCGGCGGCGCCCGCGCAAGTCCAGCGCCGGCTACGACCTGACCAAGCTGTTTATCGGTAACGAAGGCACGCTCGGCATTGTGACCGAGGCCACGCTGAAGCTGACGACAAAACCGGCCGTCGAGCAGGTGACGGTGGCCACCTTTGCGTCGTTCCATGCCGCCTGCGACGCCGTCATCCAACTGGTATCGGCGGGCGTCCACGTCGCGGCCGTGGAGCTGGTCGGCGCGCGTGCCATGCGGTGGATCAACGATGCGGCGGGCAGTTCGACCGACCGGTCGTGGCCCGAGCAGCCGACACTGTTCCTGAAATTCGCGGGCGCGACCGAAAAGGCCGTGGGCGAGCAGGCCAAGGTCGTCGAGGACATTGCCAAGGCAGCGGGGGCCACGGCCCTGGACACGGCGCAGAACCAAGACGAGTCGGAGCTGCTCTGGGAGGCGCGCAAGCAGGCTTTGTTTACGGCGGCGGGCTCGAAAGCCGACGACGAGAGCGCGTGGATCACAGACGTGGCGGTGCCCATCAGCCGGTTGGCCGACATCGTCGACCTGACGTCCAAGGACATTATCGCGAGCGGGGTCAGCGGCGGCATTATTGGACATGTGGGCGACGGCAACTTCCACTGTTTCTTGTTTTACAAGCCCGACCAAAAGGAGCACGCAGAAGAGCTGGTGCACCGGATGGTGGAGCGGGCGATCAGCATGGACGGGACGGTGACGGGGGAGCACGGCGTTGGGTTGGTGAAGCGAGACTACTTGGACAAAGAGTTGGGCACGCCGGCCGTGGACTTGATGCGTCAGGTATGTTATATGCTATATATGTTACCCCCTTCCCCCTTACATGTATCTGTTTCTTTTGACACGTTGCTGACGGCGACAGATCAAAAACGCATTCGACCCGCTGTGCCTTCTGAATTGCGACAAGGTTGTCCGCATGAAGAAGCCTTTGGTCTCGACCGACGCATAGTCACTGGTCGTATCCTCACAAGGTCAAGTAGGTTTGTTTGATTTATATACGTCCTCGACACGACATTCGGCAGTCATACAACAGATCATGCTACATCATGTAAAAAATAAGACAATAAGATGAAGGCAAATGCAAATTCAAACCGCGGGCCAAATTTTCAGACAGCCCATTACTACCTACTTCTCAGCCTCCCACTTCGCCAGCCACGACTTCAGGTACTTGCCCACCAGCTGTGAGTCGGCCATGTCGGGACACGCCGCCAAGGAAGGGCTGTCGCGGCGCGCCTTTGTGATGCTGAAGCGCAGGTTGGCCGACTCGGGCGTGCCGCCGTAGTTGCGCTCGTAGTAGTCGGCCAGCTTGAGGGCGGGCAGGCGCTTGGCAATGGCATCCGAATCCGAGCCAGAACCGAGCTCGTCGCCACGGGCACGCAGCTTGGCCAGCCACTCGTCCAGAGACACGGACTCAAAGTCGAGGCCGGCTGCTTTGAAGGCGGGCAGGACCTCTTCGTTCCACGACACAACGTGAGGCGTGTTGATGTTGTAGTAGCGGGCCTTGGCCGTATCCGCTTGAGCCTTGGCCTTGACATCGGACGACTGCAGAGGACCGTCGGCGCTGTTGCGTCGTGGCGTGGTGGCGCTCGCGTCCTTCATGGTGGTTGCAATCTCGATGCAGGCGGCTGCTACAACGTCCACGGGAATCCACTCGCAACGGCCCTGCTGGCCGTCCAGACGAGGCAGCGCTTTCAGCTCAAGGGCACTGCGCACCAGCAGCGGCACAGCCTCGCGGTCGTTCCAGATACCACGGTCGGTGTCGCCCGTAATCTGGCCAATGCGCAGAACGGCGACATTGGCACCCTCACGAGCGGCGGCCTCGCAGATGCGCTCACCGATCAGCTTGGAGGCGGCGTAGCCCAAGCCCTCCGATGCGTCGCTCAGAGACGCTAGCGGAGCCTCGGCCACCACGGCCGTGTCACCGTTGTCTGGCCGCGGGATGTTAAAGGCGGTCGAAATGCTGCTGGCAAAGAGGACGCGGGCGGGTTTGCGCGACGGGACCTGGAGGGACAACTGCAGCAGGTTGCGAAGGCCGGCAATATGGGGCTCGAAGCTCGAAGCGGACAGCCCAAAGTGGACGGGCCAGGCAGCGTGGATGATGGTGGTGGTGTCGGCTACGAGGCCGCTGTAGTCAAAGGCGTCCAGGCCGAGCAGCGGGTCGCCGAGGTTCGGGGCCTCGAGAACAACAAGCTTGCGGGCAATGGCACGCGACGAGCCCAGGTCCAGGCCACGCTCCCGAAGCGAGGCGTGGACGCGCTTGAGGCCGTGCGGGCCACGGACGAGACAGGTCACGCGCTCGACGTTGGAGTCGTAGAGCAGCTGGTGCAGGATATGGGCACCAAGGGCGCCGGTGGCGCCGGTCAACAGGACGGACTCCCCGCCGTCGGCGTGCTGAGATTCGGTGTCAAAGGTTGAGTACTTGTCGATGAGACTCTGCATGACAGCCAAGGGGGTTTGTTCGGTCTCGGAATGGATGCCATTTCTGTTCGCAAGGCCGTTGGTTTCAGTCTCTCCGGTGGTTGCACTGGCATCGTTCGTCCGGTTCAGCAGGTTAGCAAAGACGACGGCCAGGTTGGCAGCTGTGCGCGCATCGTACACGACGTTGGTCGGCAGGCGGTAGTTGCCAAAATCCAGCGACTCTTGGAACAGACGGCGGGCTTGGATGGCGCGCAGGCTGTCGACGCCCGAGGCAAAGAAGTCGGCGTCGGCACTGGGCAACTCAATCTCCGTCTGCGTCCGAAAGGTGTCCATGATGAACGCCTCGAGACCAGCCACGTCGAGTGACGTGGGCTTCTTGAAGTAGGTGCCGTTTCGTGCACCGTTCGCAGCGCCAGCATCACCGCCGCCGTCCAGCCGGGCGTAGATGGCCTCGATCTGTTTCCCAAAGAGGCGGGTAGCGCCGGCGCGGATGACATTGCTCTTGTCTGTGACGGGGTACTCCACACCATACGCAATGGACGCCACCATGTCGCGCGTGATGCGCGCAAACTCGTCGGCAATGCTGTTCGCCTGCTCAATGGCGGGCCAGATGGCACGAATAAACTCGTCCTCGGTCAGAGCAGCCGCCGCCTGGGCGCGGAACACGAGCATTCCCGGCACGGCGCGGTCGTTGCCAAACATGAGTGCATCTTTGACGAGGGGATGCTCACGGACGGCGCCCTCCATGCCGAGAGGCAGAATCTTCTCGCCGGTGATCAGCGTCAGGCGGTCGTCCTGGCGAGCAATGTATTTCCAGGCATTGGGAATGGTCGGATGCGGCTTGAACAGGTCCTTGGCATAGTACGAGCCGGGCGGGTCGTCCGAGTTGGACATGAGCAGGGCTGGGTGCGACTTGAAGAAGACAGCCTCGTACGTGGTGCCCTCGACGTGTTTGAACGTCATGTGCTCATTCAGGTTGGGGTAGGGTCTCACATAGGCCCAGGAGTCGGCATCCTCAGGCTTGCGGTTGTAGATGGAGTCGCCGACGTGGCCGACCTCTGTCAAGCCATAGATGACGCCGAGGT